TTCTATGCCCCTAGACCTAAAGGGACAGTTAACCCTTGCAGTGTGGGGTGCAAGCCCTTCTGCATGGAGGAATTTTCAAATTTATTGGAGTTGGGGGCTTTAAGGCTTATATAGGTTTTAATGATCGGGATTACCTACAGTATCCCCCAGAAGTGAGTCCCCCCTCTCACATTTGTGTCAATATTTGATTCTATCTCTTCCTGTGACAACACTGAAGAAATGACACTTTGCTACAATGTGACGTAGTCAGTGTACAGCTTGTATAACATGGAAAATTTGCTGTCCCCTCAAAATAACTCAACACACCGCCATTCATGTCTAAACCGCTGGCAACAAAAGTGACTCCACCCCTAAGTGACGAGGTCCAAATTGGGCCCAAAGTGTCAATATTTTGTGTGGGCCGCCATTATTTTCCAGCACTGCCTTAACCCTCTTGGGCATGGAGGTCACCAGAGCTTCACAGGTTGCCACTGGAGTCCTCTTCCACTCCTCCATGACGACATCATGGAGCTGGTGGATGTTAGAGACCTTGCGCTCCTCCACCTTCCGTCTTCCACTCCTCCATGATGACATCACGGGGCTGGTGGAGGTTAGAGACCTTGCGCTCCTCCACCTTCCATCTTCTACTCCTCCATGATGACATCACGGAGCTGGTGGAGGTTAGAGACCTTGCGCTCCTCCACCTTCCACTTCTACTCCCATGATGACATCACGGAGCTGGTGGAGGTTAGAGGCCTTGCGCTCCTCCACCTTCCATCTCCTACTCCTCCATGATGACATCACGGAGCTGGTGGAGGTTAGAGACCTTGCGCTCCTCCACCTTCCATTTGAGGACACCCCACAGATGCTCAGTAGGGTTTAGGTCTGGAGACATGCTTGGCCAGTCCATCACCTTTACCCTCAGACCTTTTGCACCAGGGTCTCCAGATTAGAGATGACATTTCGCTCACCACCAGTAGCTCAAAGGAATCAAGACAAGGCAATCATCATGCATACCTCCTTAAGAACCATGGAGTTTATTAAGATTGTTAAAAAAAAAAAACACAATCACAATGAAAGTGCAAAGATTCTGGTGCACTCGAGTAAAAACCTTTTTTAACCCCTTCCCGTCCGGCCCATGTATATAAACGGCTGGACGGTGGTAGTCCAGGGGCGGGTTGCCTTTCTTAAACGGCACCCACCATTTTGCACTGTGCGTGCTCCCTGGGAGCGCTCGGCACCACGATCCGGTGCCCACTGTGTCCGGAGGACAAAGCGAAACACCGATCGCTGTACGGGATGCCTGTGTGAGGTCCCGATCATGTGATCACTGATTGGCCAAATCGGTGATCACATGAAGAGTAGTAAGCAACATGTCACTTCTGACATCATTGCTTACTACGTGTGAAATCTGTGAATGATCACAGAGATCACATGGTACAGGGCTAGTCACAACAGCCTTGTACCATGTGACAAGCTGTGACCAATCACAGCTCTCACAGTATTTCCCAATGGCTGCAGGAATTCAGCCAGAGAGGAGGAGAAATTATTGCTTTTACACCCTTTATGGGGGTAAAAGCAATCAGTGTAAAAAAAAAAAAAAAAAAATCTTTATCACCCCCCACAAGTAGTACACTACGGTGACAGTGTACTGCTAGGGTGACAGTATGTTAACAAAAAAACAAAAAACAAATAATAATATAAAAAATGTAACAAAAATTTAAAAAAAATAAAAATAATTTTTTGGTTATAAACTAATTTGGGTTATTTTTTTTTACTAAAAAGACAACTGAATAAATTGTGGCCAAGATTTATGAAGAAAGATTATTTATTTGCAAAATTTTATAAGAAAAACACTTTTTTTCAAAATTTTTATAGCAAAAAAAAAAAAAAAACCCAGTGGTGAATAAATACCACCAAAAGAAAGTTTTTCTGTCTAAAAAAAAATGCTAAGAACTTCATATAGGTACAGTGTCGCATGACCGCGCAATTGTCATTCAAAGTGTGTTGTAGCGCTGAAAGCTGAAAATTGGCCTGGACAGGAAGGGGGGTAAAGACAACATGTTGCCCCCTTAAGGAGCTAAGTCATTGACATCACCTTTATAGTAATGTGTACCATGCCACTTCTGGTTTGCGCGATGATGTCACTGGTTTTGACGCGTTTCATCACAATCCACGTGATTTCCTCAAGTGTCCCCATGAGAAAGTGACATGGTTTGTGATGAAATTCATTGGGGTATTTTCTTCTTAAAATTTCTGTCAATATTTGACTAGTGTTTTTGTTGATGAAAAAATTCTTGATTCCCCCCCCCCCCCCCAAAAAAACAAAAAACAAAAACCATTGTGCTGGAAAGGAACACACCAAGAGGAGTGGGTTCTCATGAGAATGGGTTGCACTCTTCACAGTACTACAACTAATAATATTCACATGATGTTAAAGAGACCCTGTCACCTTGCCCATTTAGGGTACGGTGATGGGGTCTCCTTAACCACTTGCTGTCTGCCTGCTGTTTATAAACGGCAGGACGGTGGCACTCCAGGGGCGGGTTGCCGTTCATAAACGGCACCCACCATTTCTAGCTGTGCGCGGTCCCTGGGACCGCGCAGTACCGTGATCCGGTGCCCGCTGTCCTCCGGACACAATGAAACACTGATCGTTGGACAGGACCTCTGTATGAGGTCCCGATCATGTGATCACTGATTGGCCAATCAGTGATCACATGCAAAGTAGTAAGCAAGATGTCACTTTGTGACATCATTGCTTACTACGTGTGAAAATCTGTGAATGATCACAGAGGTCACATGGTACAAGGCTATTCACAACAGCCTTGTACCATGTGACAAGCTGTGACCAATCACAGCTCACACAGTAGTTCTCAATGGCTGCAAGAATGCAGACAGAGAGAAAGAGAAATGATTGCTTTTACATCCTATATGGGTGTTAAAACCAATCCCTGTAAAAAAAATAAAATATTCATCACCCCCCACAAGTAGTACAGTGTCACACTGTACTGCTAGGGTGACAGTATGTAAAAAAAAAAAACATAAATAATAATATAAAAAAATAAAATAAAAAATGTAAAACAAATGTTTAAAAATTATAATTTTTGGTTATAAACTAATTTGGCCTATTTTTTTTTTACTAAAAAGATAACGGAATAAATTTTGGCCAAGATTTATGATAAAAGATTATTTATTTTGCAAAATTTTATAAGAAAAACACTTTTTTTTTAAATTTTTTGGACATTTTCATTTACATAGCAAAAAAAAATAAAAATCCCAGCGGTGAATAAAACCACCAAAATAAAGCTTTATCTGTCTCAAAAAAATGGTAAAAAATTCATATGGGTACAGTGTTGCATGACCGCGCAATTGTCATTCAAAGTGTGATAGCGCTGAAAGCTGAAAATTGCCCTGGTCAGGAAGGGGGTGAAAGTGTCCGGACTGGAAGGGGGGTGAAATTGTCCGGTCAGGAAGGGGGTAAAAGTGTCCGGACAGGAAGGGGGGTGAAAGTGTCCGGACTGGAAGGGGGTGAAAGTGTCCAGACTGGAAGGGGGGGAAAATGTCCGGACTGGAAGGGGGGGAAGGTGTCCGGACAGGAAGGGGGTGAAAGTGTCCGGACTGGAAGAAGGTGAAAGTGTCCGGACTGGAAGGGGGGTGAAAGTGTCCGGGCTGGAAGGGGGTGAAAGCGTCCGGACTGGAAGGGGGGTGAAAAGCGTCCGGACTGGAAGGGGGGTGAAATTGTCCAGTCAGGAAGGGGGTAAAAGTGTCCGGACAGGAAGGGGGGTGAAAGTGTCCGGACTGGAAGGGGGTGAAAGTGTCCAGACTGGAAAGGGGGGGAAAGCGTCCGGACTGGAAGGGGGTGAAAGCGTCCGGACTGGAAGGGGGTGAAAGCGTCTGGACTGGAAGGGGGGTGAAATTGTCCGGTCAGGAAGGGGGTAAAAGTGTCCGGACAGGAAGGGGGTGAAAGTGTCCGAACTGGAAGGGGGTGAAAGCGTCCGGACTGGAAGGGGGGTGAAAGCGTCCGGACTGGAAGGGGGTGGAAACGAAAGCGTCCGGACTGGAAGGGGGTGAAAGCGTCCGGACTGGAAGGGGGGGTGAAAGCGTCCGGACTGGAAGGGGGGGTGAAAGCATCCGGACTGGAAGAGGGGGGGGGGGGTGAAAGCGTCCGGACTGGAAGAGGGTGAAAGCATCCGGACTGGAGGGGGTGGTGAAAGCGTCCGGACTGGAAGGGGGTGAAAGCGTCCGGACAGGAAGGGGGGGTAAAAGTGTCCGGACTGGAAGGAGGTGAAAAGCGTCCGGACAGGAAGGGGGGTAAAAGTGTCCGGACTGGAAGGGGGTGAAAGCGTCCGGACTGGAAGAAGGTGAAAGCGTCCGGACTGGAAGGGGGTAAAAGTGTCCGGACTGGAAGGGGGTGAAAGCGTCCGGACTGGAAGGGGGTGAAAGCGTCCGGACTGGAAGTGGTTAAACCCACCCAAGCACTAAGTTATATTTGCCATTACAGCTCTCCCCTGCCGTTCCTTTGCCCATCACATACACTGCAAAATACCTGGAGTAGGATTGTGTGGGAGCTTACAGGGTGCATGAGGTCACCCCATCCATTATGTTCATTTAGGAGGAGGTCACATGCTCCCCCATACCCAGAAGCACATGGTATTTTGTGGAAGCAGAGGAGCACTGCGTAGGTGAGCCTATCTGGGTCAGAGCATGGGTTTTAAAGAGAACCTGTCACTTTGCCACAAATGGACAAGCCATGGGGTCTATTTAATGCTGGTAAAGGGTCTTAGGCAGGGGCGGACTGACCATTTGGAAACTCGGGCACTGCCCGAGGACCCGGGGTCAGTAGGGGGCCCCATGAGATGCCCCTAGTACCCCTTTTATAGGTTTTTTGGAGTTTGGGCGAGGACACAGGGGCCCCATGATCCCCTATTGCCCAGGGGCCCCATGAGTTGTCAGTCCCCCCCCTGGTCTTAGGACATGTAATGATCCTTCTTTCTTGTTGCAGGAGAAAAACCCTATAAATGCACATGGGAAGGCTGCACATGGAAATTCGCCAGATCCGACGAGCTCACCCGCCATTTCCGGAAACACACTGGTATCAAGCCCTTTATGTGCTCGGACTGTGACCGAACATTCTCCCGTTCAGATCACCTGGCACTGCACCGCAGAAGGCACATCATGATGTGACAAAGTTTCCCAGACGCGTGGCAACATGGACGTATTGAAGGAGACTTTTCACTTGATTCTTTTCATTTGACTGACGGATGTGATACCTTCTCATTTTTTTTTATCCTTTTATCGTTTGTCCGGTTTCATTTTTTTCATCCCGCGCTCTCTTGTTTTGTGTTTTCAACACATCTCTAGTTTTTTGTGTTGTTTTCAAATCACGTTATGCTATATTTTTCTTGACTGCTAAGAAGCATAGAGCCATCAGAGTAAGCTATGGTAGATCTCCGTGCTCAAACGTTGCATCTAAACCCAAGATCAAAAATGTAATATATTGTAGCTTACCAGTCCTTAGATGTGGTTGCTGCATTAGTATTCTATATAAAATCGAAGAATATTTTCAGCAACTAGATAACATCGGTTGATTTTGCCTCTAATGTCACTCTGTGAGCGGAACTGAAAGCACAAACACTGTTATCTTCCTTTAACACCAGCCATTCTCAACCAGCTTTCCATCGAACCCTTGGGTTCCTCCAGAGGTTGCTAGGAGTTCCCTAAACTGTGGTTAACTGACCTTCCATTTGATGGTGCTTATATAGTTCGGGAGCCACAACCACTTGGCAAAACCAACAACAGGACACCATTGATCTTTTTAGATGTCTGTAGGGGGGGCATTCTGACCACCACTGTAAGAGTTGCATTCTCCCTACTGATCGTCAATGTAAGGGTCATTTTTTCCCACTTACCCCAATAATTTGGTTTTAGCAGGGGTTCCCAGAGACCTAAAAATGGTTCCAAGGGTTCTTCTAGGGCAGGAGTCTCTACACTTTATAAACAAAGGGCCAGATTTCCGTCCTTCAGACCTTAGGGTGGGTAGACTGTTGCCAGTGAGAGTAGAAACTACCCCTGCATTAGTGGGAGTACATAATGCCTCAGACTTGGTGGCCAGTAGGAGGAGGAATAATGTCCATCATTGCTATTAGTTGAAGGAATAGTGTCCTTTCATTAGTATAGTTGAAGGAATAGTGTCCCATCATTGGTATTAGTAGAAGGAATAGTGCCCCCTCATTGATATCAGTGGGAGGAATAGTGCCCCATCATTGGTATCAGTGGGAGGAATAGTGCCCCATCATTGGTATCAGTGGGAGGAATAGTGCCCCATCATTGGTATCAGTGGGAGGAAATAGTGCCCCATCATTGGTATTAGTTGGAGGAATAGTGCCCCATCATTGGTGTCAGTGGGAGGAATAGTGCCCCATCATTGGTATCAGTGGGAGGAATAGTGCCCCATCATTGGTGTCAGTGGGAGGAATAGTGCCCCATCATTGGTGTCAGTGGAAGGAATAGTGCCCCATCATTGGTGTCAGTGGGAGGAATAGTGTCCCATCATTGGTATCAGTGGAGGAATAGTGCCCCATCATTGGTATCAGTGGGAGGAATAGTGCCCCATCATTGGTATCAGTGGGAGGAATAGTGCCCCATCATTGGTATCAGTGGAGGAATAGTGCCCCATCATTGGTATCAGTGGAGGAATAGTGCCCCATCATTGGTGTAAGTGGGAGGAATAGTGCCCCATCAGTGGTAATTAGTAGGAGGAATAGTGCCCCATCATTGGTTGTTAGTGGGAGGAATAGTGCCCCATCATTGGTATTAGTAGGAGGAATGGTACCCCATCATTTGTACTAGTGGAAGGAATAGTGCCCCATCATTGGTATTAGTAGGAGGAATGGTACCCCCATCATTTGTACTAGTGGAAGGAATTGTGCCCCATCATTGGTATTAGTAGAAGGAATAGTGTCCCATCATTTATATTAGTTGAAGGAATAGTGCCCCATCATTGGTATCAGTGGGAGGAATAGTGTCCCATCATTTATATTAGTTGAAGGAATAGTGCCTCATCATTGATATTAGCTGAAGGAATAGTGCCCCATCGTTGGTATTAGTGGCAGGAATAGCGCCCCATCTGTTGGTATAACTAGGAGGAACAGTGCCCCATTCGTTGGTATCAGTGTAGGAATAGTGCTCCATCGTTGGTATCAGTTGGAGGATTAGTGCCCAGTAGTTTTGGAGAAATGGTGCCTCATTGTTGGTATCAGTGAAAGGAATAGTTCCTCATTTCAGTGGTGGTAACATAGCCTCATATCAGTGGAAACGAACAGTGCCCAATGGTTGGATAAAGGCAAGCAAAGGGCCACAGGTTGGTGACCACTTTTCTAGTGTAAAAAGGTTGAGAAAGGCCATTCTAAGCTATCTTCTGTAAGATACAGATTCCCCTGCTCCTCTTGTGATATAGATGAAGAGAAAAAAAAAACATGTTTGTAATTCAACTCAAGATGGCAACCATGCCTCCCTCCAAAGATTTAGTACAGCAAGTGAGCATAGCCACCCTAGGACAGGGAGTGTGTTACAGGTAAGCTGCAATATATCACTATGGGTTTAGCTGCTCTTTAGGATGTAAGGGAAAGTTCACAATTTTTTCAAATGGTGCAAATAATTTTCAACATAACAGATATTACATAAGCTGGGCCAGTCCTATTTATACTGTGAACGCACCTCAACAGCAATGTGACCTTTCCGAAATGCTTGTCCTTAACTTGAGGGCCATTTAGGCATCTGACTACTCCATATCTTACTTGAGGGCATAAATCAGTAGAGAAACCCATGGAAATGTCAGACCATGGTGGTTTTTACATTGCCATGTGTTTTCCTACACATTTATGTCCTTGAGTAGGACATAGAGTAGTTGCGAAATGCCTGTCCTTACCATGAGAGCAGATAGGCTTCCAACTACTCTATGTCCTACTGAAGCACATAAATGTGTAGGAAAACACATGGCAATGTGAAAACCACCATGGTCTGACATTTCCATCAGTTTCTCTACTCAACAGCAACGTGACCTTTGGATGCCTATCTGCCCTCATGGTAAGGACAGGCATTTCGCAAAGGTCACGTTGCTGTTCAGTAGAGAAACTGATGGAAATGTCAGACCATGGTGGTTTTCACATTGCCATGTGTTTTCCTACACATTTATGTCCTTGAGTAGGACGTAGAGTAGTTGGATGCCTATCTACCCTCATGCTAAAGACAGGCATTTCGCAAAGGTCACGTTGCTGTTGAGTCGAGAAACTGATGGCAACGTCAGACCATGGTGGTTTTCACATTGCCATGTGTTTTCCTACACATTTATGTCCTTGAGTGGGACATGGAGTAGTTGGATGCCTATCTGATTACTCCATATCTTACTTGAGGACATAAATCAGTAGAGAAACCCATGGCAATGTCAGACCATGGTGGTTTGACATTGCCATGTGTTTTCCTACACATTTATGTCCTTGAATAGGACATGGAGTAGTTGGATGCCTATCTACCCTCTTGGTAAGGACAGGCATTTCTCAAAGGTCACATTGCTATTGAGTAGAGAAACTGATGGAAATGTCAGACCATGGTGGTTTTCACATTGCCATGCGTTTTCCTACACATGTATGTCCTTGAGTAGGACAAAGAGTAGTTGCGAAATGCCTGTCCTTACCATGAGGGCAGATAGGCTTCCAACTATTCTATGTCCTACTCAAGGACATAAATGTGTAGGAAAACACATGGCAATGTGAAAACCACCATGGTCTGACATTTCCATCCGTTTCTCTACTCAACAGCAACGTGACCTTTGCGAAATGCCTGTCCTTACCATGAGGGCAGATAGGCATCCAAAGGTCACGTTGCTGTTGAGTAGGGAAACTTATGGCAATGTCAGACCATGGTGGTTTTCACATTGCCATGTGTTTTCCTACACATTTATGTCCTTGAGTAGGACATGGAGTAGTTGGATGCCTATCTGATTACTCCATATCTTACTTGAGGGCATAAATCAGTAGAGAAACCCATGGCAATGTCAGACCATGGTGGTTTGACATTGCCATGTGTTTTCCTACACATTTATGTCCTTGAGTAGGACATGGAGTAGTTGGATGCCTATCTACCCTCATGGTAAGGGCAGGTATTTTACGAAGGTCACGTTGCTGTTGAGTAGAGAAACTGATGGCAATGTCAAACCACCAATAAAGCTGTGATAACCACCATCTGATGAAGGGCTGTTGGGCAGGCAACTCTTCAGACAGATGGCAAATCTTCAAGGCCAGTTATTAACTTCAGCAGGATGCTAAAAAAAAGTCCACGCTCAACCCCGAAACCCTATATCCCTATTAGCCCATCTGGCCTGCACCAGACGTAAACGTCATTCATAGGTGCACCCCTTTAATGTGCCATGCTTCTATTAGCCAAGACTCCTTTTTCCGCTAAGGCTCAAGGGGCCTTCACGTCATTCTTCGTTTCTTGTTTTTGTCTACTGTCTATGATCTGACTTCTGTAGTCACCACTCACACTAGCACAACAAAGCACAGTATTGAAGAGTCCTTTTCCTGTTCCACCAGCATCTTGGTTTCTTCCACTCCTCCAAAAGTGCCACTTTTCTTCGGCCTTAGGATATTCTAAAGGGAAGGAAGCAGGACAAAGAGTGTTTCTTAGTTCCATGTTTATGTCCAGTTTGGTGGATGTTTACCTATCTTGACAGTTCTCCAAGGGAATTCCCACCGGAGAGTAGGTACACCTGCGGCGGACATGTTGCAATATATAGGCGTTGCAAGTACTATATAAGAAAAGCCACTGTTTTAGGGTCACTTTAATTAAAATTGGGTTCATCTTTTATTTAAAATGTTAATAATTTTTGGTTTCTATGACTATTTTAATTTGAACCATGTAACCTTTTATTTTGTGCGTTTTTTAGCTTTCAAAATGGCAGAGTATACATTTTTGTGTATATACATTTTTTTTTTAGAAATATATATATTTACATATATATTTATTATACACATACATGATCTTGGGTGGATATAAATCGTACACGTGGTCGTGGCTAGTGGCAGTCATATTCAGCTGGGCTTGTTCCGTGATGTGGAGGAGGTCT